AAGATATAGGAAGAGGAACAGCATTAGGTGATTCTGGTAAGAACCATGCCAAGATACACTTCATATTAGGCCTGTTCTCTGCTGGGGCTAGGAACGATACTGAATCATACAGCAGAAAAATCTGGGAGATTATTCAAATTTGGCTTGAGAGTCAGAGTTCCGACACCTTCTTAAAATGTCTTCCTCAGGGAATGAATCAAGTGAGTGTTGGAGGTTATCTGAGTTAGAGAACTCTAGTACCTGGTTTCTCAGAGACTTGGCTTTGCTTCTGCTGCTGGATTAGTCTATAGACTGCAGGCCTGGTACTGGCAGAATTTGTAGGACAGCAGCAACACAAGCTGATGGCTTCAGGAGTCTCATGACACATTTGAGGTCACATCTCTCTTTTATATTTAAGTAAAATGTACAGATGGTGAAATGCATAGATTTTAAGTATAGAATTTGATGAGTTTTGATAAATGGATATACCCATGTAAACAGCATGCCTATCAAAATAAAAAACATTTCTATCCCTCCAGAAAATTTCTTTGTGCACCTTTGCAAGCAATCCCCGCCCCTCCATAGGCAACCACTGTTGCAGCGTCTCTCTCTGTAGATAGGTTTTTCCTGTCCTTGAACTTCATCTAAATGGAATCACACAGTGTTTGCTCTTTTTTTGTTTGGCTTCTTTCACTCAGCATTGTGTTTGTGAGGTTCCTCCATGGTGTTGAATGTATCAGTTTATTTATTCACATTGCTGTGGAGTATTCCATTGTATGAATATGCCACAATTGATTTCTTCATTTTACTGCTAATACACCTTTAGGTTGTTTCCAGTTTAGGGTTACTATTAATATGCTGGTATAACATTCATTTGCATGATTTTTGTACACAAATGGACATGTTTCTGTTGGGTATATAGTATATGCATATATCCTGCTATAGTATACACTACTAGGATTTTGTAGTACATAAAATCCTGACAAACAGTGGTCGTCAGGATTTTGATTCCTTTGGAGGGAGGAGTCTTCATGGTCTCTGTGAAAATGTGCCTGCTCTCTCCCCAGTAGTCTTTAAACTCAGCAGCAGGGAGTGTTGGGAAAAGCATCTTCATTAAGACTGAAAAAAAGAAGTCCTATAACTCCTTTCCCACAAAGTAGTGGGTTCCACTTTTATTTATACTTAATTATACTTGGTTGACTCTTGATTTATAAGGATTAAATAAGTTATCACTGGTGCAGTTCCTGGAATAATGCCTGGCATACCTTCAGTGCCATAAAAACAAGAGTTTGTTAAATAAAAACTAAGAGGGCCATTTAAGTCATTTGCCATCATGTCTCTTCTGAAATCGAGTAGAGGTAGCTGATGTCCAACAGAATAAAACTATCTGATTACCATTCACTTAAAGTAATAAAAGAGTAAAAAATATTTAGGAAAGCAAATCAGTATTTTAGAGAAATGGGTGTGGCAACATGAAGTGATCCCAAGACAAATACCTCTCCAAGTTGGAAACAGAATGTCTGGGTTTGCACACCAGAGAGCCACCTTTTTCTCTGACCATGGGTCTTTTCCTTCTCATCTGGTTGACACAGTGGCTCTGTATGGTAGGCCAGGCAGGGGCCTCAATGCCAAGAACCTCATTTTCTCCAACCAGCTAGGGGTTTTCCGTAGAATTACTATAATTAGTTCATTTACATATGCGATCTAGATCCTGAATTTCACATCTTTGCTGTAAGTATAACTTGGCCAGCTGTCAGCATAGTCATAGTAGGATTTGTCATTATGTACAGTTTTGAGGAAGTTTAGGGACTTACTTACCTTGTACTAATAGAGGAGAAATTGGTGGTGGGAAATAATGATTTTTTCCCTACATTACAGTTGACCTTTAACTCTTAGGAACTGGAGCAAATCATGTCCATAAATTAGTTACTAAAAGTTAACAGTAATGAATAGTGTTTCACCCTCAGATGACAAGGGCTCCCTCTTATTAGAAAAGCTGGCTTGAGCTGGCCAGCTTTTCTTGATATCTTCCACTTTATACATTCTGAATCCCATTTAACACTACTTTAGATTTCCATTAAACAGTTAAATGGCTTGCCTCTCTGTGGCATGAAATCCTGTATACACAATTTTTATTTGTTGCTGCTTTTACAGACAAAACTTTATTAAATAAGCTAATGCAGCCAGAAGATTCCAGGAAGTCAGCAAAGTAATTGTCTGGAAGAATAAAAGAATCAAAGTCCTAGGTTCCTAGGTTAAGAACAACAAAGCTTGCCTGTCACAAAGTAGGAGTGTACTCATTTTACTCCCTGCATCTTTGGGTCAAGACCTCCAAATCCAGCAAAATTCAATTAATTGAATTATTTAGCAAGTGGAGGGGAAACTGAATGCATGACACATTTATTGTAATAATGCATCACTCCAAAAGTAAAGAGGAGTGATGGAGAAAAGATACACTGTGGGCCCTAGAAATGTATGCAGAGAAGATACTGGATGAATGTTACTAAATCCAGCCCATGAAAAAGAGGCTGGGGAAGGGTGGGGAAAAAAGGCAGAAAACTGTACTTGAACAACAATAAAAAAATTTAAAGTAAATAAAAAATATGTTAAAGAAAAAAAATGTCAAGGTATATTTTTCAATTCATCTTGGCAATCTTATCAAACTGTCTTATCCACATGATTCAGACTTAGGTTCTAAAATTCTTGCTCTCCATGCAGTTACAGAAAGCTGCCATATTTTTGTCTGTCTTTCCAAATACATTGATATCTTTATGCTGTCATTCACAGTGTAGGACTAATTTAAAGGGAACGGGATCAAGTAGGTACTGAGTATGATTGTATGAAATTTACTGGTGTGGATCTTTTAAAAATGTATTTTATTGATTATGCTATTACAGTTGTCCCATCTTTTTCCTCTTTGCTCTCCTCCACCCTGTCTGGCAATCCTCCCCTTAATTCATGTCCATGGGTCATGCATATAAGTTGTTTGGCTACTCCATTTCCTATACTGTTAACACGCCCCCTGTCTATTCTGTACCTACCAGTTTGTACTCTTAATCCTCGCACTTTTTCCCCCAGTCTCCCCCTTTCCCTGCCCCACTGATAACCCTCTAAATGATCTCCATATCTATGATTCTGTTTCTGTTCTGCTTGTTTACTTAGTTTATTAGGTTCAATTGTTGATAGATATGTATTTATTGTCATTTTTTGTTCATAGTTTTGATCTTCTTTTTCCTAAATAAGTCCCTTTAACATTTCATATAATAATGGCTTGGTGATGAACAACTCCTTTAGTTTTATGTTGTCTAGGAAACACGTTATCTGCCCTTCCATTCTAAATGATAGCTTTGATGAATAGAGTAATCTAGGTTGTAGGTCCTTGCTTTTCATCACTTTGAATACTTTTTGCTACTTCCTTCTAGCCTGCAAAGTTTGAGAAATCAGCTAACAGTCTTATGGGAACTCCTTTGTAGGTAACTCTCTGCTTTTTCTCTACCTACTTTTAAGATTATCTCTTTGACTTTTGGCATTTTAATTATGATGTGTCTTGGTGTGGTCCTCTTTGGGTCCAACTTGTTTGGAACTCTCTGTGCTTCCTGGACTTACGTATCTATTTCCTTTACCAAATTAGGGAGGTTTTATTATTTTTTCAAATACGTTTTCAACTTCTTGCTCTTTCTCTTCTCCTTCTGGCATCCCTCTGATTCAGATGTTGGTACAGTTGGAGATGTCCCAGAGGTTCCTAAGCTTCTCCTTGTTTTTTAAAAATTCTTTTGCTGTTCTGGTTGAATGCTTATTTCTTCCTTATATTCCCAATCATTGATTTGACCCTGGCTTCATCCTCTTCACTGTTGGTTTCCTATAGATTTTTCTTTATTTCACTTAGTATAATCTTCATTTCTGCCTGGGTCAATTTTATGCTGTTGAAGTACCCAATGAGTTCCTTGAGCATCCTGATCACCAGTGTTTTGAACTCTACATCTGATAGATTGCTTATCTCCATTTTGATTAGTTCTATTTCTAGAGTTTTGTTCTTTTCTTTCATTTGGACCATATTTCTCTGTCTCTTCATTTTGGCAGCCTCCCTGTATTTGTCTCTATGTATTAGGTAGAGCTGCTTTGACTCCCTGTGTTAGTAGTGTAGCCTAATGTAGAAAAGCACACATGTAAATTGGATGGGATAGGTAATTGTTAGGGTAGGGCAACCTGTGTGAACCAGGTTGATGGAGTCTCCGATATGGTGTCACTGCTCTATGGCTCTGTGTGGGGGAGGGCTCAGAAAGGGGACAATACTGCTGCCAGGCCTCTGGAGTTTTTTCTGGGAGGAAGCTGTCTCCTGGCACTTGCCCTGATACCACACACTTCAGATTCTCCCCACGTACCACTGGTACTTTTCCAGCTGCTGTTGGGGTGCTGGAGCCTAGAGGGAGTAAGTCTGCATAAATCTGTTGCAGGCCCTTTAAGAAGAGATCCCTGAGAATCCCACGGTTTTTCTGCCCCACCCCCCTGGTTTTTGCAGCCAGAAGTTATGGGGACTTATCTTCCTGGCTCTGGAACTCTGGGCTAATGGACTGGTGTGGGGCTGGGATCCCTCATTCCCGAGGTATTCTTCCTAATTTTTATCCACCACAGGTGCATATGGGACTAACCCATTTGGCATCTCTGTGTCTCCACCCCTCCTACCCATTTGGATAAATGTGACTTCTTTAATTCCTTGATTGTTGGACTTCCATACAGCTTGATCTCTGATGATTCTGGGTGATAGTTGTTTTGTATTTTAGCTGTAATTTTTGCTGTGGTTGTGCAAGGAGGCAAGTCATGTTTACCTACACCTCCATCTTCACTGGGAGTCTGGTGTAGATCTTAGGAAGCTGTTATATTTTAATATGAAACATAAATATAATTTATATTTGTTCTGATAAAACACAGTGTCCTGACGCCCAGTCCCTCACAGAGTGAATGTATATATGCTCCTGTGTGTTGATTTAGACATTCATGATCTTATCACATGAATCTTGCAGAAGAAACTGGGAAGGTGACCGTGAGAAGGCTCTGCAGCTCATACTCCAGATCCTGCATCGCTGTGACAACCCGACCTCTGCTATGTTCTGCCTGTGTGGAATGATTTACAAGGACAAGTTTCTGGAATCAAACTGCAGAGATTACGTCAGCAGAGACAGCGCCATTGAGTGGTAAACCCTCAACCCTAGTCATTAGCATGTGCATCTCTGCAATGAAGAATTACAGTGGCTAAATATCCACGTGTTTTCCTATGTATATGTGTCTGCTTATTTGCTGGTAGTGGAAAAGTGTGCTATAAGTGTGGTTTGGGAATTTCCACATTACTTTTTCCATAAGGAAACCATTAAGAATAGGGTTTTTTTATGCTGACATTCTTCCTGCAAGTTCACTCATTTGCAGGGGCTAGAAGGAGGATTGGCACACTCCTTCCCAGCTACTCCTTCCAGAACTTTGTTTCCCACTGTGAGGCCAATGTCTTTTCAGTGTCTTTTCAATATCCACCCATCCACCCACCCACCCACCCACCCACCCACCCACCCACCCACCCACCCATCCATCCATCCATCCATCCATCCATCCATCCATCCATCCATCCAACAAAGGTTTATTGAGTATTTACTGTTTGTCAGGAAGTTTTCTAGATTGTGGGGATAAACACACAGCAGACATGAATTCCTCTCCTTATGGACCTTGCATTTCTGGAAGTCACATAAGCAAAATAAAATATACAGGATGTGAACTGATGGTGAGGGCTATGGGAAAGAGTTAAGCAGAGAGGGGGAAAGGAGGGTTGGGAGAAGTTGTCTGCTATTTTTGGTAGGGTGGTCAGTGCAGGTGAGTAAAGATGTTAAGATGGTGAGGGAATGAGCCTTACAGGTAAGTGTGGAGAAAGTGTTCCAGGAAGAGGGAGACAGCAAGGGCAAAGACCCTGAGGAGGAAGCATGCTGGGCAAGCGCAAGGATGGTAGGCATGAACAAGTGGAGAGTGGCAGGAAATGTGAGGGAAAACAACCCTTTTAGTCTGAGGGAGATAATACAACATTGGAGTGTTTTGAGCAGAGGAGTAACAAGGTCTGACATACATTTTAACTGGAGTATTCTCACTGTTATGCAAAGAATACATTTAAAGGGGTGTATCAGCCATCATTTGCTGTATAACAAACAACTCCAAAATTTAGTGGCTTAAAATAGTGATTCTCATGATTCTGTGGACTGGCCAGGCAGAACCTCTGCTGGTTCCACTCTCCAAATGCTGGGCTCACTCCTAAAGTTTCAGTCAGCTGGAGGGTGAGAGGGCTGAAAGGTCCAAGACTGCCTCACACATGTTTGCCAGCTGGTGCTGAGTATTGATGCTGAGCCTCCATTTTCTACCATATGGTTCTAATCCTTTTATATCAGCTTTATTACATGGTAGGCTGCATTCCAAGAGAGCAAAGGTAGAAGCTGCAAAGCTTCTTGAGGCTTAGGACCAGGAACTCATGCAAGGTCAGTTTTACTGCCTGCTATTGGTTAAAGCAAATAACATGGCCTTCCTAAATGTAAAGGGGTAAAGAAAGAGTCTATGGGTGGGAGAAATGGCAAAGTCATATTGCAAAGGCACATGCAAAGTGGGATGAGAGGAATTTTGGCTGAGAGGAATTTGGGCCATTGAACAGTTTACCCCAGGGACAAGAACAGAGGCAGCGAACACAACATTATTGAAATAATTTAGGAGAGAACTGATGGTGACTTGAACCAGGGTGGTAGTGATGAAAATGATAAGTCAAAACCTGGATCCCAACATCTCACATTATCCATTTTTATTACAAGAGCTCTTGGCATTGCTGTTTTATTTTCTTTTGATTATGACTGCTGTTTGTTTGTTTCTATTTATCTATCTACCTATCTGCCTGCTTACCTACCTACCTAGCTTTGTTTTCCTTCCATACATGTTGGAAACTCTGTCCTGTACCCCAGGGTTTCTCAACCTCGGGGCTGTGGCCTGTTAGGAACCAGGCTGCACAGCAGGAGGTGAGCTTGAATGTAATGTACTTGAATCATCACAAAACGTGTACCCTTGGTCTGTGGAAAAATTGACTTCCACAAAACTGGTCCCTGGGGGAAAAAAGGTTTGGAACCACTGCTCTGTCCTCTTTTCTCTGTGCACACACTCTTCCCTGGTGATCCTAGTCAGTTCCACATCTTGGGACCCCTAGCTGGTCTTCAGCTTAATGTCTGTTTTAAACTGTGACCTCACATTGCCAGCTCTTTGTCCACCTGTTCTGTCTTGAGATGGTGCTGGTATTTAAGACCAACCATGTCCAAGGGTGAAGTAATTTTCTCATCACCACAAGGTATGGCTTTCAGTGTATTCCTTTCTTTTACTACCTTTACCTTCCTACTCTTGAACTTTTAGTCGATGTTTGATAAGTTTCACTTATATAATCAGTCCCCAATTCCAGCCCTTTTGTGAGTCTTTCCTTACTCCCTGCCAGTCCTTTCCCATTGTCCCTCTCCAGTCAGCACCCTTCTTGTTTGTTTTTTTGTTGTTGTTTGTTTTTGCCAGGAATGTTCTAACAATATCCTGTGTAAGCTTTCTATGTGGACTCTTTAAAGCCTATTCTTCTAAAATTCAAAGATGTCTCTAAAGTCTGTCCTTCTAAAATTCAAAGGTTTCTCTCTAAAGTCTATCCTTCTAGAATTCAAGGACCCCACCATGGCTGCCCATTCTCTATTAAATAAATATTCAAACTTAAATCATTGCCCTGGGTGCTCTGCACACTTTCTTCAACTCACCTCTAGTCCTATTTTCCATGGCCTGATATATGTCCAATTAAACTAAAGTTCCTTAGGAGCTCCCCAAACTCCAATCTCTGCTCCCATCTACCATTTTCTATGCCAGGGGTTCACTTTCCAGATCTCTGCTATTATAATTCTAACCATCTTCAGCCATATCTGAAGTCTCTGAGGATTACTCTGTATGTCTTCTGTGAGTCCCTCTAGACATCCATTTGTGTGGTTTTAGGATATTTATCACAGTCATGCTTCTACTTTACTAATTATATGTGGATCGTATCACTTTTATCATGTTATAGGTTCTTGGAGGGCAGGGATCTTGTGTTATTCTTAGTTCAGGAGTACCTAATGCATTAATGGCAGGGAGGAATCACTCAGAGTGTGGAAGGGAAGGGTAAGGAAGATAAATTAACATTTGGCAAAGTCAAAATAGGAAGCTGTGTTCCCACCATGGTGGGTGAGAATTCAACCCTCAGGTCAGGAAATTACTACCTGTGGCTCCTTCAAGAAAGTCTTAGGAGCTCTTTTTCTCCACCCACTTCAGAAAGTAGTGGCAGTGGGTACAGGAGCAAATGAAGCTTAGTCTTCCGGTCAGGGCATGTTGGCTCAGGTGAGACCTTGGGGGTTGTCTGACCCAGGCCTGCAAGTATGGATGTGGGATATGTGGCTCAGGGAAATAAGGGGTTCTGGTCCATGGTCACAGGGCTGGTCAGAGACAAACCGGCAAGTGCAGTCCTGACTCCAAGTTCAAGTCTTGTCTGCCCCCAAGCTAAACCTGTTTGATTTATTGATAAGAGACATGGAGAAGTCACTCTGTTGGCACTCTTCCCTGATAACTTTTCATAATAAAAGAAATTAAAAAAATCAATACAATAAGACATAGAATTAAAATCCCCAAAACATACAGGGGAAAAGTTTTCATTTATATTGGAATTTTGTTGCCTGGGGTTGGAAGGACTACCTTGATGTCCTCTGGTCCCAAAGTTTATAAAACCAGATTTTAACAGCTTTATATAACTTCTCACTTCTACAGTTAATACTTTGTTACTATCTAATTCTATTGTCACACTAGTGACAAAACAACTTCTGTTTTAGAAGTCCTTGGCATATTTTATTGATCAGATTCTCTTATTATTGTACTCAGTTACTCATGGAAGAGAAAGAAACTTTTTATGTATAAAATACAAAATAAATAAAAGAATTAAAAGTGGCACTGTTAACCTTTTGGTATACAAATGGTATTTGCAGTTTTGTATCTTTATCCTAATGTAATAGATTCCTGCACCTTCTGTCACTTTATGCCACTGCTCTTACAGTTCTTTGAGCTCTAAGATTCTAGTAGTACTACTGCCTACATGAAAAATGATTCCATTTTATGATATAAACAAACAAATGGACTTCAGAAAAATAGCCTGTAATTGATGCAACATATATGTAATAAAAATTTCAACATACAAAGGGGGTCTAACCATAAAAATGAAATTTGGACATCAAATTGTGGTCTCCTTTTGGGTGTAGGTTCATAATAGGTTTAACATTTTTTGGTACATTTTAACATAACTTCCTTATTTTATACAATGGTCATGGTTCCTATTTTTTATAATCCTGATGAATAATTTTCAGACTCCCTAGTATAATTTACTGTGTTGCTACTGTGAAATTTTTAAGAAGATATTTGAGTGTTGCACATAGCTCTTTATAAAGATTCAAGGGAGGGCTGGAAACAATAAATTAGAGTAGTAAAAATTTTCACAAGAAGTTTAGTTTGTACCATTATTTACACATTTTTTCCTATGTTACTGTAATATATAGTTATATTATACATTAAGAACTGGATGGTTCTGTGATTGTAGGTATCGCAAAGGGTTCAAGGTCCATTCATCTCTTTATACTGGAGTTAACCTTGCAGTTTTGCTGACAGTCGCTGGACAACAATATGAAATGTCCGCGGAGCTAAGGAATATAGGTAAAGCTATTTATTGTTGCACATGTTGATGCTTTGGTAACACAAGTTTAGCATTAAAAATTATGTTCAAGTAACTGGCATTATATTTCAGAAGGAACAGTTACTCTCTGGTGGCACACATTAGCCAAAATAAAATGCCCATTTTTCTTCTGTGTAAATGCTTGCATAATATGATAGAAACTAGAAACATTTTTACAACTTTATCTAAAATTCATATTTTAAGGTGCCCAGCTGAACAATTTGTTGGGAACAAAAGGATGCTTGGAGCAAATGAGCAATTACTGGGATGTGGGTCCTTTCTTCATCATCAGCTTGTTGGCCAATAATGTCAGGAAGGCCATCCATGCAGCAGAGAGGTTGTTCAAACTGAGGCCTCCAGTCTGGTGAGTCATGTCTGTGAATTATCATTATCCTTCTCAATATCTAATCATGTCTTGACATGTTTCTGTCAGGGAGAAAAGTTTTAAATGCAAAAAACAATAGCAATTACTATGTTTCTCCTACTGACTTCATTATAGCAGTCAGGACAGAAAGAACAACTCTGAGGCATCACTTGGTTTTATGTGAGAAAAGGGAAAGACAGACAGACAGACACACACAAGATATATCCCTAGATGCTATATCTCCAACATGAAACTCTCAGTCCTATTAATTTGTTCAGGTCATCCAGGTTCTCAAGAGCAAAACATTCTTTGGTACTAGTACGTGTTGTGGATCCATGGAAAGGTAGATCATAAAGCTGAAAAACACAGCAAGAAAATGATGTTTATCACAAATGAAAACTGGAACTAAAATACTAATAATAGATATATGGTTAAAAAGATGTGACATAACTATGGCCCTAGGTTATACAGCCATTAAAATTTGTAAGAAACCATACTTGGAAGCATGGAAATGTGTTTATGGTTTTTCATAGAGTAAGAAAAGCCAGCAGCTTTGGCATGTATCAGAATCAGCTGTGTTGATCAACAAACACATTGCTGGGCCATCTCTTAGGATTTCTGGGCTCCATGGAGAGCAGGCCAGAGGCTTAAATACATTCCCACTACATCAGAGCTTCAGATAAATTACAGTGTTGATATCTATTTTTGTGGGTCCAAGACTACCCTCAGGTTCATGATTTGCTAGAAGACTTCACAAAACTCAGAAAAGCTGTTATTCTGTATAGAAGGATACAGATTAAAATCAGCAAAGGCAAGAGGCACAGTCTGGGGAGACCAAGCACAAGCTTCCAGTTGCCCTCTCTTGGTGGATTTGTATGGACAGTGCTTACAGTAATTTTCTCAGCAACAATGCATGACAGCATTCCCATTGTATTGCCAACCAGCGAAGCCCACCAAGTCATGCTGTCCAGGGTTTTTATTGGGGTCAGTCATGTAGGCATAAAGTATCCATGTGACTGACCTTAGTCACTGAGTCCTCAGCCTCCCTAGAGATCATACTAATACAGCATTGCACAAGGCCCCCACCATAAATCATATTGTTAGTATGGCCTAAGGCTTCAGGTAAACAAAGACACTCTTACTAGGCAGGCTATTCCAAGGGCTTAGAGGTGATTTTCCTGTAGCCAGTCTAGGGCCAGAGGACCAGAGGGCCAGATCCTTCTTGGAATATGTAGAGTTTGGACAACCCAGGCCGCTGAGTTAATCCTGTACTGCATAGTACCCAAGCAAGTCATTCAGAGTCTAACTGATATGTTTTCCCAGGATAGCTCCGGACTTTATCCTCAAAGGGCAAAAATAACACCCTGATGCTTTCACCTGAGCCATCCTGGTTCAGTGCCAGAGAATATGTGACCACCACTGCCTCGAAATTATGTTTCAAAAAGTTAATCTTGCCTGATGACTTAAAGGTGTGGTCAGATTCAAGATCTCATAACATCAAAATCTACCTGCTCAGATCTTTTTTTTTTTTAAGAAAAGGCAATGAGTTTTACATTAGTGATTGCCAAAGGTCCAGGAGGATTTGGGCATGAGAGGGAAGTAGGCGTGGCTGTAGAAGGGAAATAAGAGGGATCCTTGTGGCTCTGGGAGTACTCTCTGTCTCAGATGTATCAAGGCCAACGTCCTGATTGTGATACTGCTCTATGATTCACTGCAGTGTTACCATTGGGAGTAGGGTAAACTGGGCCAAGGCAAGGGTACATGGGATTTCTCAGTGTTATTTCATACAACCATATATAAACCTGCAAACACCACAAAATAAAAAGTTGAATTAAAGAAAAAGACAATGAGTTTGAAATTCTGTCATTTTGCAATTACTTTTAACTTTAGACTACTTGCTCTTGTTATTTAGGACAGTTAGCAAAAGCTTGCCAATCTCTGTTTTCAACACTATGTCCCAAAATTGAGGTATAGGCTGTTGTTGGTAGAAAGTCATGTTGTATGATTTTGTTGAGCAAGCTTATTTTGCCCACTATTTGGGTTTGTTTTAATTAAGTATATGGCTGCCAAATGATTAAGAAGCACTCACTATGTAATATGATTTTAAGTAAATAAAGCTTTCAGGAAACTTCTTTTAAAGGGAGTAAAATTGAACTTAGTTTCTTTGGGAATCTAATTACTAATGCTTGTGATTCTTCTAGGTACTTGGAATCACTAGTTCAGAATTTGTTTTTAATTCTGCACTTCAAGAAACCTGTTATCGAACATTCACCAAGGAAAGAACAGCTTACCTTCTGGTTAGATATAATTTTTGCAGCAACAAACAAAGATACTAATGGACTCAGATTTCCAGTAAGAAATGCTAAATTCATTCCTTTAAGATAAAAAAAATAAACTAGGGGCTGGTGCTATCTAATTATTGAATACTCTGAAAGGAAAAAACCATAAGAGTAATTTAAAATGTTAAGCTTTTCATCAGTTTTATGTGGAATCAACCAGTGATAGATTAACTTACTATAAAAAAGTTGACTGTATAGTCGACTCTTGAACAACATGAGTTTGAACTGTGTGAGTCTACATATATGTGTTTTTTTAATAAATAAGTATATTCTCTAAAATTGTGGTTCTCAACAGGATGTGATTTTGTCCCCCAGAGGACATTTGGCAATGTCTGGGGACATTTTTGATTGTCACAATTATGGGAGAGGCGTTGCAACTGGCAGCTCATGGGGTTGAAGCCATGGATGCCAAGGACAGTGGCCACCTCCCCAAACACAGAATTATCTATCGGTAGTGCCGAGGTGGAGAAACCCTGCTCTAGAGCAGTGCTGTACTAATAGTGAAATTATGGAATTCAAAGCTGTTTCATGTTTAGCTCTGATTTGCCTCAGTGCCACAAATTACTTTTTACAACTTTTTATTGAAAAGCAAAATTGCTTTTATCTTTTCAGTGAGTTTTTGTTGCAGCTTTATGACTATGTTACATGGAGGCGTAAGTAAGATATCTAAGCATTCTGGAAACTGAACTTGTGTTTCAAAATTATGCCTTGAGATTTTGTGAACACGTAGCATTCAAGAATCTCATTAAACAGCTAATAAAAGATTAATTTATTTGAAATGATTATGATAATAATTTTGTTCCTAAGCAATAAGTTTAAAAAATTTTTTTTAATTATGAAATATTTTAAACCTACTGAAAGGATGAAAAAATAATTGGGCTGATACTTTGGTAATCTCTACCTAGGTTTAGCAATCTTAAATATATTACTTCATTTGCTTTGGAAATTCATTCTCTCTCTGTCTCCTTCCTGTACTTCCTGCCCTCTTCTGTCCTCCCTCTCTCTACCCCAACAAAATAAAAGATGACTGATGTCACCTCACGTTTCATCCCCTCGCACTCTTTAGACTTGGTACCTATCTGTGATCACCCAGTTTAATTTCTTATTTCTCTCAAAAACTGTAACATTCCTCATTTTTCTGTCATTTTCCTGAGCAGACTTTTCTTGACTACCCTGTCTAAAGAAGTTCCCCCAGCTCCCACCTTTATTCTGCCTTATTTTGTTCAGAGTTCTGTGTGATACCACATTGCATATCACTATCTGTTTCTTCCTTTATCTGTCCCATTAGAGCATAGACCTCCTGAGGGCAAGGGCTTCTGTCTTGGGCTGCTGTGTCCATGGGTCGTAGAGCAGCATTGACACACTGTGCACGTCCTTCATGTGTGTTTGTGAAGTGCACAGCTTCCCACTTCCTCAGTGGGCAGGGTGGCCTATGTTGTATATTCCTGTGCATTACAGAAATCTGTTCTTCTTCTAGGTTTTGGTGATAGAACCAACCAAAGTCTACCAGCCTTCATATATCTCTGTAAACAGTGAAGCTGAGGAGCGGACAGTTTCTCTGTGGCATGTCTTACCCATGGGGATGGTAAGAAAAAGATCACCAACAGCTCTGTATTCTATATGATTTAATCAAAACTTGATTCTTAAGTAGAAGAGTCTATGTTGTACTTGAAAGAGCAGGCAGCTGTGCCTAACTTCTGAGTTGTGGGAGTAGATGTGAGAGTAACCACAGATGAAAGAAAAGAGGCAGGTTTTTCCATTATATATTCTGTATGTTATTGTGTATAATACACACTTTTTTGCCCAAATTTTAGAGGGAAAAATAAGGATGCACATTATACATGGGCAGTGCCTGAAATACCTTGTATCTGTTCTTATGTTTTGTAATCATTTGTTACATAAAATTTCTTGTACCATATATTAAAAAATAAATGCTAAAATTCCTTTAGAATATAAAAACCAAGTACCTCAATATAAATAAATCAAAAATAGAATTAAAAACTTAAAATGAAAGATTTTTTTCCCTGAAAGTTTGGGCCACAAATGTGAGTGTGCATTATACATGGGAGCACACTATACACAGCAAAATATGGTATTTATCTCACATGTTGTATGGATTTGTGTGTGTGCATGTGTGTGTGTATATATGTGTGTGTATATTTATATATGTATATGTATAAATGAATACAGGCTTGTTAAAAAGAAAGTTAAACCACGAGGAAGTAGGTAAGGAATAAAAGGAAAGTCCCTACAGATCTCTTAAATCGGGTTCCCATTCCCATCCCCAGTAATTTGGTGGCTATCCCTCTATACCTGTTTTATAAACTCATTTCTATGTGTATACTGTGTGTATACCTCTATTCACTATACTCAAGCAATGATCCACCTGGTTTTTTAAGTGTAATATTTCTGATATTCTTGTATCATGTGGTACGTTTCTGAGTATGGATGAATTATAGTTTATTTTACCACTTTCCTGCTGATGCACATTAGGTCTCTTTTGCTCTCTACCCAACAGTAGATACGCCAGTGTACATTCTGGTGGTTACACACTACCATGCTCATGTAGCTGTTTCCAGAGCAGGGATTCCCAGAAATAGACCTTCTGAATTTAGGACTAAACATGTTTAAACTTCAGTAGCTGCTGTCAGATTTGTAACTTTCCAATTTTATTCACACCGACCATATAGAAGAGAAAACATTTGAATTTAATTGCCCATTGAAGACATTACAGAAATGTTGGGTCAGGCCTGGTGTTTTGTGATAACAGCTATATTTCATATCTGTGGGTCTGAAGCACTTCACCAGCTTCTTTTTGCTTTAATAAAATCTTTTGTAGTAACAAAAAGTTATAGCACCTTTAACAAATGCCTTAAATAGATGTATTTGCTGTATATATGTTTTCATGGCATGTGCAGAGTTCTGTCATTAACTTGGCAAAGGAGGATTATTTTTTTCCTGGAAACAAGAGTATAGGCAAATTATCTTAAGTGAAAATAAACAATATCTTAAAAAATAAAATGCAACATTGGACAATAAGAAGCTCAATCATATTAGAAATTCCTTATTAGAAATAGTAAGAATACAACTTCCTATTGTTCAACTGACATGAAGTTTTAGTTATACTAGATGAATAAATTGCAGCCATTTGCTATACAACATAGTGCTTGTAGTTAACGGCATGGTGTTGTACACTTGGAGATTTTTAAGAGGGTAAACCCAACATTATGAGTTCTTACCACAGAGACACAAATAAAGACAAAAACCAAGAGACACAAAGACACTTTGGGGATTAATAGATATATCTATTGCTCTGATTGTGGTGATGGTGTCATGGGTGTTTGCATACATTCATACTCATAAAGTTATGCATATTAAGTATGCAGTTTTTTATTTTTAACTATATTGTATCGATTATACTATTACAGTTGTCCTCATTTTTCCTCCTTTGCCCCCTTCCACCCAGCACACTCCACTCCCTAAGGCAACACCACCACCATTGTTCATGTCCATGGGTCATGCATATAAGTTCTTCGATTACTTTGTTTCCTATACTGTACTTTACATCCCTATTGGCTCTTCTGTAACTATCTATTTGTACTTCTTTTTAAAAAAAATTTATTTAGTTATTTTTCAAATACAGTTTTTTTGTCTATTTCTCCCATCCCAGCCTCCCCCGCCCCTCGCTCCCAACCTCCCTCCCATTTCCACCTCCCTTAGTTCTCTTCCCTGTGTCCTTCCTATTTGTTCCTCCAAATCCCTCCCCCCTTTTCCCCTTAACTTCCCTTCCCTGTCCCCTCTGGTCGCTGTCCCCTTATTCTCTATTTCAGTGTCTTTGTTTTGTTTTGTTTTTTCTGCTTGCTTGTTTTGTTGTTTAGCTTCCTGTTAAAGGTGAGATCATATGGTATTTGTCTTTCAATGCCTGACCTATTTCACTCAGCATAATGCTTTCCAGTTCCATCCATGTTGTTGCAAAGGGTAGTAGCTCCTTCTTTCTCTCTGCTGCATAGAATTCCATTGTGTATATGTACCACAATTTTTTGATCCATTCATTTACTGACGGGCACCTAGGTTGCTTCCAACTCTTGGCTATTGTAAATTGTGCTGCTATGAACATTGTGGTGCATAGGTTCTTTGATATTGATGTTTTATGATTCTTAGGATATAATCCTAGCAGTGGAATTGTTGGGTCAAAAGGCAGGTCGATTTTTATTTTTCTGAGAAAATTCCATACTGTTTTCCATAATGGTTCAACCAGTCTGCACTCCCACCAACAGTGAACTAAGGTCCCCTTTTCCCCACACCCTCTCCAACATTTGTTGTTTGTTGCTTTGTTTATGATAGCCATCCTGACTGGTGTAAAGTGGTATCTCATTGTGGTTTTAATTTGCATCTCTCTGATAGCTAACGATATGGAGCATCTCTTCATGTGTCTCTGAATGTTCTGTATGTCCTCCTTGGAGAAGTGTCTGTTCAAGTCCTTTTCCCATTTTTTAATTGGGTTGGGTGTCTTCTTAGAGTGGAGTCGTGTAAGTTCTTTGTGTATTTTGGAGATTAAACCTTTGTCTGAGGTATCATTGGCAAATATGTTTTCCCATACAGTTGGTTGTCTTGCTAATTTAATACTGTTTTCTTTAGCCACGCAGAAGCTTTTAATTTTGATGAGATCCCATTTGTTTATACTTTCCTTTATATTCCTTGCTCTAGGAAACATATCAGTAAAAAAGTTGCTGCATGAAATATCTGAGATTTTTTTGCTGATGTTCTCCTCTAGGATTTTAATGGTGTCATGGCTTATATTTAAGTCTTTTATCCATCTTGAATTTATTTTGGTGTATGGTGTAAGTTGGTGCTCAAGTTTCATTTTTTTGCATGTTGCTGTCCAGTTCTCCCAGCACCATTTGTTGAAGAGGCTATCTTTACTCCATTTTATGTTACTGCCCCCTTTGTCAAATATTAATTGACTGTAGAGAGTTGGTTTGATTTCTGGGCTCTCTGTTCTGTTCCATTGGTCTATGTGCCTGTTGTTATGCCAGTACCAGGCTGTTTTGATTACAGTGGCTTTGTAATACAGTTTGCTATCAGGTACTGTGATCCCTCCTACTTTGTTCTTCTTTCTCAAAAGTGCAGCTGCTATTCTGGGTCGTTTATGGTTCCATATACATTTTTGAAGTGTTTGTTCTATGTCTGTGAAATATGCCATTGGTACTTTAATAGGTATTGCATTGAATGTGTATATTGCTTGTCCATACTACCCAAAGCAATATTTGTACTTCTTAATCCCCTCACCTCTTTACCCATTCTCCCCCTCCCCCCTCCATTTGGCAACCTTCCAGTAACTCACTTCTTTTCTCTTGCTTTTAAGAGTCTCTCTTTATCTTCAACCTTTGGACTTTTATTTTTAATATGTTTTATTAATTATGCCATTACAGTTGCTCTATTTCCCCTCCTTCATTCCCCTCCACCCTGCACACCCCCTCCCCCACCATTCCCCCCTTTAGTTTATGACCACGTGTCTCAAGTTCTTTAGATTATAATTTCCCATACTATTCTTGCCCTCCCCCATATTTTCTACCTACTGTCTATGCTACTTATTTTCTGTACCTTCTCCCCCCCTTCTCCTTCTCCCACTCCCCTGTTGCTAACCCTCCATGTGATCTCCATTTCTGTGGTTCTGCTCCTGATCTAGCTGTTCTCTTTGCTTTTGTTTTAGGTGTGGTTCTTAATAACTGTGAGTTTGCTGTCCTTTCACTGTTCATGGTTTTTTATCTTCTTTTTCTTTGATAAATCCCTTTAACATTTCATATAATAAGGGCTTGGTGATGATGAACTCCTTAAATTTGACCTTATCTGAGAAGCACTTTATCTGCCCTTCCATTCTAAATGAAAGCTTTGCTGGATAGAGCAATCTTGGATGTAGGTTTTTGCCTTTCATGACTTGGAATGCTTCTTTCCAGCCCCTTCTTGCCTGTAAGGTCTCCTTTGAGAAATCAGCTGACACTCTGATGGGAACTCCTTTGTAGGTGACTGTCCCCTTATCTCTTGCTGCTTCTAGATTCTCTCCTTCATTTTAATCTTGGGTAATGTAATTATGATGTGCCTTGGTGTGTTCTTCCTTGGGTCCAACTTCTTTGGGACTCTCTGAGCTTCCTGGATTTCCTAGAAGTCTATTTCCTTTGCCAGCTTGGGGAAGTTCTCCTTTATTATTTGTTCAAATAAGTGTTCCACTTGTTGCTGTTCCTCTTCCCCTTCTGGTGCCCCTATAATTTGATTGTTGGAACATTTAAAGATGTCCTGGAGGTTCCTAAGCCTCTCCTCATTTTTTTTGAATTCTTGTTTTTTCATTGTTTTCTGTTTGGTCATTTTTTTCTTCCTTCTGATCCACTCCATTGATTTGAGTCTCAGTTTCCTTCCCATCACTATTGGTTCCCTGTGCATTTTGCTTCATTTCACTTAGTGAAGCCTTCATTTGTTCATCTTATTTGTGACTAAAATCAACCAGTTCTGTGAGTATCCTGATCACACCAGTGTTTTGAATTATGCATTTGATAGGTTGGCTGTTTCTTGGTCGCTTAGAAGTATTGG